GAGAAAGCAAAACAAAATGTCGGAGCGGCCTTCTTTGGTTGTTGTTGCTTCGTTTGGAAGTCGGGGAAACCGAAACGCCTCGGGGGTCGCCTCCTCCCCAGCCCCTCCCCAGCCCCTCCGCCTCCTCCCCAGCCCCTCCGCCTCCTCCCCAGCCCCTCCGCCTCCTCCTCAGCCCCTCCTCCCCAGCCCCTCCGCCTCCTCCCCAGCCCCTCCGCCTCCTCCCCAGCCCCTCCGCCTCCTCCTCAGCCCCTCCGCCTCCTCCCCAGCTCCTCCCCAGCCCCTCCGCCTCCTCCCCAGCCCCTCCGCCTCCTCCCCAGCCCCTCCGCCTCCTCCCCAACCCCGCTGCCAATCCCCAGCCATGGGAATGTGGAATTTTTTTGTCTCGGGAATCCGTTCAGGAAATCGGCTGCAGCGCCGGGTCCATCCGTCAGTGGGTCTCTGTGTGATGAGTCTATGGGTCTCTGTGTGGTTAGTCTGTGGGTCTCTGTGTAGTGAGTCTGTGGGTCTCTGTGTGAGTGAGTCTGTGGGTCTTTGTGTGGTGAGTCTGTGGGTCTCTGTGTGGTGAGTCTGTGGGTCTCTGTGTGGTGAGTCTGTGGGTCTCTGTGTAGTGAGTCTGTGGGTCTCTGTGTAGTGAGTCTGTGGGTCTCTGTGTGGTGAGTCTATGGGTCTCTGTGTGGTGAGTCTATGGGTCTCTGTGTGGTGAGTCTATGGGTCTCTGTGTGATGAGTCTGTGGGTCTCTGTGTGGTGAGTCTATGGGTCTCTGTGTGATGAGTCTATGGGTCTCTGTGTGGTGAGTCTGTGAGTCTCTGTGTGAGTCTATGGGTCTCTGTGTGAGTCTATGGGTCTCTGTGGTGAGTCTATGGGTCTCTGTGTGATGAGTCTATGGGTCTCTGTGTGATGAGTCTATGGGTCTCTGTGTGGTGAGTCTATGGGTCTCTGTGTGATGAGTCTATGGGTCTCTGTGTGGTGAGTCTGTGGGTCTCTGTGTGGTGAGTCTATGGGTCTCTGTGTGATGAGTCTGTGGGTCTCTGTGTGAGTCTATGGGTCTCTGTGTGATGAGTCTATGGGTCTCTGTGTGGTGAGTCTGTGGGTCTCTGTGTGGTGAGTCTACGGGTCTCTGTGTGAGTCTGTAGGTCTCTGTGTGAGTCTATGGGTCTCTGTGTGAGTGAGTCTGTGGGTCTCTGTGTGAGTCTATGGGTCTCTGTGTGGTGAGTCCATGGGTCTCTGTGTGGTGAGTCTATGGGTCTCTGTGTGGTGAGTCTACGGGTCTCTGTGTGAGTCTATGGGTCTCTGTGTGATGAGTCTATGGGTCTCTGTGTGAGTCTATGGGTCTCTGTGTGAGTGAGTCTGTGGGTCTCTGTGTGAGTCTATGGGTCTCTGTGTGGTCAGTCTATGGGTATCTGTGTGATGAGTCCATGGGTCTCTGTGTGATGAGTCCATGGGTCTCTGTGTGGTGAGTCTATGGGTCTGTGTGATGAGTCTATGGGTCTCTGTGTGGTGAGTCTATGGGTCTCTGTGTGGTGAGTCTACGGGTCTCTGTGTGGGTGAGTCTATGGGTCTCTGTGTGGGTGAGTCTATGGGTCTCTGTGTGGTGAGTCTATGGGTCTCTGTGTGGGTGAGTCTGTGGGTCTCTGTGTGAGTGAGTCTGTGGGTCTCTGTGTGGTGAGTCTATGGGTCTCTGTGTGGGTGAGTCTATGGGTCTCTGTGTGGGTGAGTCTGTGGGTCTCTGTGTGGTGAGTCTATGGGTCTCTGTGTGGTGAGTCTATGGGTCTCTGTGTGGGTGAGTCTGTGGGTCTCTGTGTGAGTGAGTCTGTGGGTCTCTGTGTGAGTCTATGGGTCTCTGTGTGGTGAGTCCATGGGTCTCTGTGTGATGAGTCCATGAGTCTCTGTGTGGGTGAGTCCATGGGTCTCTGCGTGATGGGAGAGGCCACTGTGGGTCTGTGTGAGGGGGGGGGATGGAATAGTCCATGTTGGGGACCGACGGGGGAGGTCGTGCAGCGGTCGACGTGGAGACGCATGCAGGAAGAAGGGGAGCGTGGCTTGGGGTTTAGGGTCGGTGGATTTCGTGTTGGTGAGTGTGTGTCAGTGTGTGTGTGTCAATGTGTGTGTGTCTGTGTGTGTGTCAGTGTGTGTGTCAGTGTGTGTGTGTCAGTGTGTGTGTGTCAGTGTGTGTGTGTCAGTGTGTGTGTGTGTGTCAGTGTGTGTGTGTCAGTGTGTGTGTGTGTCAGTGTCAGTGTGTGTCAGTGTGTGTGTCAGTGTGTGTGTGTGTCAGTGTCAGTGTGTGTCAGTGTGTGTGTGTCAGTGTGTGTGTCAGTGTGTGTGTGTGTCAGTGTGTGTGTGTCAGTTTGTGTGTGTGTGTCAGTGTGTGTGTGTGTATGTACGTGTGTGCGTGTGTATGCGCGTGTGTATGTACCACCACGCCCGGCCGCCTTTGTCTCCCCCAACGTCTCTGCTGGGGATCGTAGCGGTAGCGGTAGTGGGCTAACCGCAGCGCCACCGCTCCCCACGGAACATGGCCCAAAGTTAGCCACGGGGTGATGGCGGTCTCACATTGCGTGCCAAGTGCACCCCTAACAACAACACCCTAATAACAACCCCCTAATAACAACCCCTAACAACACCCCCTAATAACAACCCCCTAACAACACCCCCTAATAACAACCCCCTAACAACACCCCCTAATAACAACCCCCTAACAACAACCCCTAACAACAACCCCTAACAACAACCCCCTAACAACACCCCCTAATAACAACCCCCTAACAACAACCCCTAATAACAACCCCCTAACACCACCCCTAACAACAACCCCCTACAAACACCCCTAACAACAACACCCCTAACAACAACACCCCTAACAACAACACCCCTAACAACAACACCCCTAACACCACCCCCTAATAACAACCCCCTAATCACAACCCCCTAACAACAACCCCCAAACACCACCCCTAACAACAACCCCCTAACACCACCCCTAACAACAACCCCCTAACAACACCCCCTAATCACAACCCCCTAATCACGACCCCCTAACACCACCCCCTAATAACAACCCCCTAATTACAACCCCCTAACAACACCCCCTAATAACAACCCCCTAACACCACCCCTAACAACAACACCCCCTAATAACAACCCCCTAACAACACCCCCTAATAACAACCCCCTAATCACAACCCCCTAACAACAACCCCAAACACCACCCCTAACAACAACCCCCTAACACCACCCCTAACAACAACCCCCTAACAACACCCCCTAATCACAACCCCTAATCACGACCCCCTAACACCACCCCCTAATAACAACCCCCTAATCACAACCCCCTAACAACAACCCCCTAACAACACCCCCTAATAACAACCCCTAACAACAACCCCCTAACAACACCCCTAACAACAACACCCCTAACAACAACCTCCTAATCACAACCCCCTAACAACAACCCCCTAACAACACCCCCTAACACCACCTCCTAATCACATCCCCCTAATCACGACCCCCTAACAACAACACCCCAAACACCACCCCCTAACACCACCCCTAACACCACCTCCTAATCACATCCCCCTAATCAAAACCCCCTAATCACGACCCCTAACACCACCCCCTAACACCACCCCCTAACAACACCCCTAACAACAACACCCCAAACACCACCCTCTAACATCACCCCTAACAACACCCCCTAACACCACCTAATCACATCCCCCTAATCACAACCCCCTAATCACGACCCCTAACACCACCCCCTAACACCACCCCCTAACAACACCCCTAACAACAACACCCCTAACAACACCCCCTAACACCACCCCTAACACCACCCCTAACAACACCCCTAACAACAACCCTAACACCACCCCCTAATCACAACCCCCTAATCACAACCCCTAATCACAACCCCCTAATCACAACCCTGTCTCTACCCCCCGTCTCTACCCCCGTCTCTACCCCTGTCTCTACCCCCTGTCTCTACCCCCTGTCTCTACCCCCTGTCTCTACCCCCTGTGCCTACCCCCTGTGCCTACCCCCTGTCTCTACCCCTGTCTCTACCCCCTGTCTCTACCCCTGTCTCTACCCCCTGTCTCTACCCCTGTCTCTACCCCTGTCTCTACCCCTGTCTCTACCCCCTGTCTCTACCCCCTGTCTCTACCCCCTGTCTCTACCCCCTGTCTCTACCCCTGTCTCTACCCCCTGTCTCTACCCCTGTCTCTACCCCCTGTCTCTACCCCCTGTCTCTACCCCTGTCTCTACCCCCTGTCTCTACCCCTGTCTCTACCCCCTGACTCTACCCCCTGTCCCTACCCCTGTCTCTACCCCCTGTCTCTACCCCTGTCTCTACCCCTGTCTCTACCCCTGTCTCTACCCCCTGTCCCTACCCCCTGTCCCTACCCCCTGTCTCTACCCCCTGTCTCTACCCCCTGTCTCTACCCCTGTCCCTACCCCCTGTCCCTACCCCCTGTCTCTACCCCCTGTCTCTACCCCTGTCCCTACCCCCTGTCCCTACCCCCTGTCCCTACCCCCTGTCTCTACCCCCATGTCATTCCCCCACTTGGCGATGTCTCAGGGAGATTGTTGTTGTTGTTGTTTACGTGGTTAAGGCTGAGTTGACCTAAATGTAGGCGAGAGTGAGTGGTGAGTGTGAGTGTGTAAGTGAGTGAGTGTGTGAGTGAGTGTGAGTGAGAGTGTGTGTGAGTGTGTAAGTGAGTGAGTAAGTGAGTGTGTGTAAGTGAGTGTGTGTAAGTGAGTGAGTGTGTGAGTGAGTGTGTAAGTGAGTGCATGAGTGAGTGTGAGTGAGTGTGAGTGTGTAAGTGAGTGAGTGTGTGAGTGTATGAGTGAGTGTGTGAGTGAGTGTGTGAGTGAGTGTGTAAGTGAGTGAGTGAGTGCGTGAGTGAGTGAGTGTGTAAGTGAGTGTATGAGTGAGTGTTTAAGTGAGTGAGTGTGTGAGTGTGTAAGTGTGAGTGTGTGAGTGAGTGTGTTTATTCGAGCGAGTGTGTAAGCGAGCGAGTGAGCGAGCGAGCGAGGGAGCCCTCCTTCCCGGGAGACCTCCCCCACCCCCCTTCAACAGCCTCCGCCGGAGTCGTCCGTCGTTACGCCACGCGGCCTCCTTCAGCACCCCCCACCCCGTCCCCCCCCCCCGTCCCCCCGAGCTCCTAGAGGAGGCGGCAGGCCGTCCGGCCCCCGCGTTGCCCCGCACGCGAGGCCCCCGGGTTCACCACGGCCCTGACGGCCTCCTCAAACACGGCACGGATCCCGTCCTGGGTGAGAGCCGAGCACTCCAGGTAGCGTACCGCACGCACCTGGCGAGCAAGGGCCGTGCCCTGGTGGGACGACACGGGGGCCTGGCCGGCCTCCTGGGGAGCGGGCGGTGAGAGACACGGGGGGGTGTGAGACACGGAGGGTGGGAGAGAGACACGGGGAGAGAGAGACACAGGGAGAGACACGGGGAGAGAGAGACACAGGGAGAGAGAGACACGCGGAGAGTGAGACACGCGGGGAGAGACACGGGGGGAGAGAGCCCTGGTGGGACGACACCGGGGCCTGGCCGGCCTCCTGGGGGGCGGGCGGTGAGAGACACGGGGGGAGTGAGACACGGGGAGAGAGAGACACGCGGAGAGTGAGACACGCGGGGAGAGACACGGGGGGAGAGAGCCCTGGTGGGACGACACGGGGGCCTGGCCGGCCTCCTGGGGGGCGGGCGGTGAGAGACACGGGGGGTGTGAGACACGGAGGGTGGGAGAGAGACACGGGGAGAGACACGGGGAGAGAGAGACACGGGGAGAGTGAGACACAGGGAGAGACACGGGGGGGAGAGACACGGGGGGAGAGAGCCCTGGTGGGACGACACGGGGGCCTGGCCGGCCTCCTGGGGGGCGGGCGGTGAGAGACACGGGGGGTGTGAGACACGCGGGGTGGGAGAGAGACACGGGGGGTGTGAGACACGCGGGGAGAGACACGGGGGGAGAGAGCCCTGGTGGGACGACACGGGGGCCTGGCCGGCCTCCTGGGGGGCGGGGTGAGAGACACGGGGGGTGTGAGACACGCGGGGAGAGAGACACGGGGAGAGAGACACGGGGGGGAGAGAGACACAGGGAGAGAGAGACACAGGGAGAGACACGGGGGGGAGAGACACGGGGGGAGAGAGCCCTGGTGGGACGACACGGGGGTCTGGCCGGCCTCCTGGGGGGCGGGCGGTGAGAGACACGGGGGGTGTGAGACACGGGGAGAGAGAGACACGGGGAGAGTGAGACACGCGGGGAGAGACACGGGGGGAGAGAGCCCTGGTGGGACGACACGGGGGCCTGGCCGGCCTCCTGGGGGGGCGGGCGGTGAGAGACACGGGGGGTGTGAGACACGCGGGGAGAGAGAGACACGGGGAGAGAGACACGGGGAGAGAGAGAGACACGGGGGGAGAGACATGGGGGGACAGATACGGGGGGTGTGAGACACGGAGGGTGGGAGAGATACGGGGGGAGAGAGACACGGGGAGAGACATGGTCAGAGACACGAGGAGAGAGAGACACAGGGAGAGAGAGACACAGGGAGAGACACGGGGGAGGGAGACACGGGGTGAGAGACACGGGGAGAGACACGGGGGGTGTGAGACACGGGGAGAGAGACACACGGGGAGAGAGAGACACGGGGAGAGAGAGACACGGGGAGAGAGAGACACGGGGAGAGACACGGGGAGAGAGAGACACGGGGAGAGAGAGACACGGGGAGAAAGACATGGGGGGAGAGATACGGGGGGAGAGAGACACGGGGAGAGAGAGACGCAGGGAGAGACACGGGGAGAGAGAGACACAGGGGGAGTGAGACACGGGGAGAGAGAGAGAGACACGGGGAGAGACATGGGCAGAGACACGGGGGGAGAGGGACACGGTGAGAGACACGGTGAGAGAGAGACACGGGGAGAGAGAGAGACACGGGGAGAGAGAGACACGAGGAGAGAGAGACACGGGGAGAGACACGGGGAGAGACACGGGGGGAGTGAGACACGGGGAGTGAGACACAGGGGGTGTGAGACACGGGGGGTGTGAGACACGGGGGGTGTGAGACACGGAGGGTGAGAGACATAGGGAGAGATACGGGGGGAGAGAGACACGGGGGGAGAGACACGGGGAGAGAGAGACAAGGGGAGAGAGAGACACGGGGAGTGAGAGAGACACGGGGTGAGAGAGACACGGGGAGAAAGAGACACGGGGGGAGAGAGACACGGGGAGAGAGACACGGGGAGAGAGAGACACGGGGAGAGAGAGAGACACGGGGACAGAGACACACGGGGAGAGAGAGACACGGGGGACAGAGAGAGACACGGGGACAGAGAGACACACGGGGGGACAGAGAGACACACGGGGACAGAGAGACACGGGGACAGAGAGAGAGACACGGGGGGAGACAGAGACACACAGGGACACAGACACACGGGGGGACACAGACACACGGGGACAGAGACACACGGGGGGACAGAGAGACACACGGGGACAGAGAGAGACACGGGGATAGAGAGACACACGGGGATAGAGAGAGACACACAGGGCGGGACAGAGACAGACACACGGGGGGGAAACAGAGAGACACACGGGGACACAGACACACGGGGACAGAGAGACACAGAGAGACACACAGGGACAGTGAGACGCACGGGGACACAGACACACGGGGACAGAGAGACACGGGGGGACACAGACACACGGGGGGAGACAGAGAGACACACGGGGCGACAGAGAGACACGGGGACAGAGAGACACACGGGGGGACAGAGAGACACGGGGGGACACAGAGAGACACACGGGGACAGAGACACACGGGGGGACAGAGAGACACACGGGGGGGGGACACAGAGAGACACACGAGGGGGGAAACAGAGAGACACACGGGGACACAGACACACGGGGACAGAGAGTCACACGGGGACAGTGAGACGCACGGGGAGACAGACACACGGGGGGACACAGACACACGGGGACAGAGACACACAGGGAGACGGAGAGACACACGGGGACAGAGACACACAGGGAGACGGAGAGACACACGGGGACAGAGACACACAGGGAGACGGAGAGACACACGGGGAGACAGAGACAGACACACGGGTGGAGACAGAGACAGACACACGGGGCGGGACAGAGAGAGACACACGGGGACACAGAGACACGGGGAGACAGAGACAGACACACGGGGCGGGACAGAGAAAGACACACGGGGGTGGAGACAGAGACAGACACACGGGGGTGGAGACAGAGAGACACACGGGGGGACAGAGACAGACACACGGGGGTGGAGACAGAGACAGACACACGGGGACAGAGAGACACACGGGGGGACAGAGACAGACACACGGGGGTGGAGACAGAGAGAGACACACGGGGAGACAGAGACAGACACACACGGGGAGACAGAGACAGACATACACGGAGACAGAGACAGACACACACACGGGGAGACAGACAGAGACAGACACACACGGGGAGACACACAGAGACAGACACACGGGGAGACAGAGAGAGACACACGGGGCGGGACAGAGACAGACACACGGAGACAGAGACAGACACACACGGGGAGACAGAGACAGATACACACGGGGAGACAGAGACAGACACACACGGGGAGACAGACAGAGACAGACACACACACGGGGAGCCAGACAGAGACAGAGACACACACGGGGAGACACAGAGACAGAGACAGACAGAGAGAGAGACCTTGAGTTTGCGCAGGGTGTCCGGGTCGGAGCGCAGGTCGGCCTTGGTGCCGACGAGGAGGAGCGGAGCCGCCGGGCAGTGATGCGTCACCTCGGGGTGCCACTTGAGGCGCACATTCTCGTAGGACGTGGGGCTCGCCAGGGAGAAGCAAACGATGAAGACCGACGTCTGTGGGTAGGACAGCGTGCGGAGGCGGTCGTACTCTTCCTGGCCTAGTGGTGGGGGGGTGGTGGTGGGGGGGGAGAGGTGGGGGGGGAGGTGGGGGGAGATGGAGGAGGAGAGAGAGAGAATCGGAATGTTCATTTTTAAAAAGAATCAAGAGTCAGCTGAAGAGTCAACGTCTGTGGGTAGGACAGCGTGCGGAGGCGGTCGTACTCTTCCTGGCCTAGTGGTGGGGGGGTGGTGTGGGGGGAGGTGGGGGGGGGGAGGTGGGGGGGGGAGGTGGGGGTGGAGGTGGGGGGAGATGGAGGAGAGAGAGAGAATCGGAATGTTCATTTTTAAAAGAATCAAGAGTCAGCTGAAGAGTCAACGTCTGTGGGTGGGAGGGTGTGTGGAGGCGGTCGGACTCTTCCTGGCCTAGTGGTGGGGGGAGGTGGTGGGGGGGGAGGAGGTGGGGGGTGGAGGTGGGAGAGAGAGAATCGGAATGTTCATTTTCAAAAGAATCAAGAGTCAGCTGAAGAGTCAACGTCTGTGGGTAGGACAGCGTGCGGAGGCGGTCGGACTCTTCCTGGCCTAGTGGTGGGGGGAGGTGGGGGGGGAGGTGGGGGGGGGAGGTGGGGGGATGATGGAGGTGGGGGGAGAGAGAGAATCGGAATGTTCATTTTTAAAAGAATCAGCGTCAGCTGAAGAGTCAACGTCTGTGGGTAGGACAGCGTGCGGAGGCGGTCGGACTCTTCCTGGCCTAGTGGTGGGGGGAGGTGGGGGGGGAGGTGGGGGGGGGAGGTGGGGGGATGATGGAGGTGGGGGGAGAGAGAGAATCGGAATGTTCATTTTTAAAAGAATCAGCGTCAGCTGAAGAGTCAACGTCTGCGGGTGGGACGGCGTGCGGAGGCAGTCGGACTCTTCCTGGCCTATTGGTGGGGGGGTGGTGGGGGGGGAGGAGGTGGGTGGAGGTGGGGGGGGGAGGTGGGGGGGGGTGGTGGGGGGATGTGGGGGGAGATGGAGGAGAGAGAGAATCGGAATGTTCATTTTTAAAAGAATCAAGCATCAGCTGAAGAGTCAACGTCTGCGGGTGGGAGGCGTGTTGAGGCGGTCGGACTGTTGGTGGGGGGGTGGTGGGGGGGGTGGTGGGGGGGTGGTGGGGGGGGAGGGGGGAGGAGAGGGGGGGAGGGGGGCGAGGGGGGAGGAAGGGGGAGGTGAGGGAGGGGAGGGAGGGGTAAGGGAGGGAGGGGAAAGGAGTAAGGGGGGATGGAGGGCAAGGGAGATAGTGGGGGAGGGGGAAGGGGGGGGAAGGGGGGGGAGGGGGAAGGGGGGAGGGGGGAGGGGAAGGGGGGGAGGTGAGGGAGGGGGAAGGAGGGCTAAGGGGAGGGGTAAGGGGGGGTAAGGGGAGGGGTAAGGGGGGGGTAAGGGAGGAGTAAGGGGAGGAGTAAGGGGAGGGGTAAGGGGGGAGGGGGTAAGGGGAGGGGTAAGGGGGGGTAAGGGGGGGAGGGGTAAGGGGAGGGGTAAGGGGGGGTAAGGGGGGGAGGGGTAAGGGGAGGGGTAAGGGGAGGGGTAAGGGGAGGGGTAAGGGGGGTAAGGGGGGGAGGGGTAAGGGGAGGGGTAAGGGGGGGTAAGGGGGGGTAAGGGGGGGAGGGTAAGGGGAGGGGTAAGGGGAGGGGTAAGGAGGGGTAAGGGGGTAAGGGGTAATGGGGGGAGGGGTTGGCACGAGGTGTGGGGGGTAGAGATGTTTGTGAGAACCATGAGAGTCAGACTGAGTGTTGAGGCTGTAGGAGCAATGAGCTGTGAAGCTCTCTTACACAGCTCGTGGGGGGGGGGGGGGGCACGGGGGGGGCACGGGGGGGGAGGGGCACGGGGGGGGCACGGGGGGGGCACGGGGGGGGAGGGGCACGGGGGGGCACGGGGGGGGAGGGGCACGGGGGGGCACGGGGGGGCACGGTGGGGTGGGAGACACAGGGACTCAGTGATGGTGATGATGGTGGTGATGATGATGGTGATGATGGTGATGATGGTAGTGATGGTGGTAGTGATGTTGGTGGTGATGATGGTGGTGATGATGATGGTGATGATGGTGATGATGGTAGTGATGGTGGTAGTGATGTTGGTGGTGATGATGGTGGTGGTAGTGATGTTGATGGTGGTGGTGATGTTGATGATGGTGGTGTTGGTGATGATGGTAGTGATGGTGGTGGTGATGATGGTGGTGGTGATGGTGGTAGTGGTGATGGTGGTGGTGGTGATGGTGGTGGTGATGATGGTGGTAATGATGGTGGTGGTAATGATGGTGGTAGTGATGTTGATGGTAGTGGTGATGATGGTGATGATGGTGATGGTGGTGATGATGGTGGTGATGATGGTGGTGGTGATGGTTATGATGATGGTGGTGATGGTGGTGGTGATGATGTTGGTGATGATGGTGATGATGATGGTGATGATGGTGATGATGATGGTGATGATGGTGATGATGGTGGTGATGGTTCCTCCTTGTCAAGTTCTCTGTGTGAGGACGGAACCAGAAAGAGGAAGTGACACAGACAAAGGTCCCCCATGTAGCCTCTAGCAGGCTGTAGGGGCAAGTGCTGTTGGTAGTAGCGAGTAGCAGCAGCGGTGTCTATGAAGGTAGACACAGACAAAGGTCCCCCGTGTAGCCTCTAGCAGGCTGTAGGGGCAAGTGCTGTTAATATAGCAGCAGCAGCGCTGCCTGTGAAGGCTACCGGCACTGTGGCTACACACACAGAGGGGGTGGGTGGTCAGCACCACCACCACCACCACGCCCGGCCGCCTTTGTCTCTCCCCCAGCTACACCAGGTAACTCATTTGAGGCTGAGTCGACCTACGCATGAGGCCCCGGTGCCGACGATGGTTGTTGGCTGTGAGCGGGAATCGAACTGGGGCAACTTGCCGGCTTCGTATCGAGAGCGAGGCGCTAACCGCTGCACCACCGCTCCCCTAACGCGCACACGCACACACGCACACACACACACGCGTGTACACGTGTACACGCGTGTGTGTGTGTGCGCTGGACACGTGCACACGCGTGTGAAACGCACGCACGGGGAAGTGACACCCTTGTGTGAAATTGCCAAATTCCCCTGGCCCCATGGTCTCTCCGTGTGTCTCTCTGTGTGTCTCTCTCTGTGTGTCTCTCTGTGTCTCTGTGTGTGTGTCTCTCTGTGTGTGTCTCTGTGTGTGTGTCTCTCTGTGTGTCTCTCTGTGTGTGTCTCTCTGTGTGTGTGTCCCACTGTGTGTCTCTCTGTGTGTGTGTCTCACTGTGTGTCTCTCTCTGTGTCTCTCCGTGTCTCTCCGTGTGTCTCTCTGTGTGTCTCTGTGTGTGTCCCACTGTGTGTGTCTCTGTGTGTGTCCCTCTGTGTGTCCCACTGTGTCCCACTGTGTGTCTCTCTGTGTGTCTCTCTGTGTGTCTCTCTGTGTGTCTCACTGTGTGTCTCTCTGTGTGTCTCTCTGTGTGTCTCTCTGTGTGTCTCTCTGTGTGTCCCACTGTGTGTCTCTCTGTGTGTCTCTCTGTGTGTCTCTGTGTGTGTCCCACCGTGTGTCTCTCTGTGTGTCTCTCTGTGTGTCTCCCTGTGTGTCTCCCCGTGTCTCTCCGCGTGTCTCTCTCTGTGTCTCTCTGT